GATCCCAGTCACTGCAAAGTTTCTTAATGGCCTTTTCCTATAGACTTAGCTAAATTATATACTCGTGTGGATGTAGCACCTGTTCTCTGCACCTCCATACAGAGCCGATGGTGGCGCAGTGGTTAGAATGCAGCACTGCAGGCTAATTCTGCCGGCTGCTGGCAGTTCAATTCTCACCAGCTCAAGGTTGACTCAGCCTTTCCATCCTTCCGAGATTGGTAACATAATGACCCAGATTGTTGGGGATAATATGCTGACTTTGTAAAATGCTTAGAAAGGGTTATTAAGTGGTATACAAGTCTAAGTGCTATTGCTATTAAAGCAGGCATGTTCATTCCATAGGCTGCATGCAGCTCTGGACAGCTAGTAATGTAGCTGCCCAAGATTGTAAACTTTAACATTATTATGTGATTTGAATATAATAACTGAAGAACTGAACTGAAGAAGCTTCTTGGATGAGAAGTGAAATGTTTTCAGAGTAAACACCAAGAAAGTCCAGTTGCCTTTTGGAGAAAGAAAAAACACCTTTGGAAAACCATGATATGGATGATCGAGAATCTCCCTTGACATACAATACCCATATTATATATTTTATAGGAGGCCCAAGACAATTCCTGTTAATTTGGCCCAGGCAAGCCAAAAGATTGGACACCCATTCCCTAAAGCATGGAGGTGGGACTACAACTATAAAATGTTGCTCCCATTTCCATATTTCTGAGGAACATCTGATGGATAGTTGTGCTGCACCACACTATGGAAATACTCTGATGTTCAAAGAAATGCATCAGATTCTTTGAATGCCAGAGAAACTGTTGCATTTGGTTAGGAGGATTAAATAATTCTCTCATTTAATGGCTTCTTCGCAAGCAATAACTCTTTTTGAGTTCTTCTTTCTCTTATTCTTACAGAAGGGTTGTTGAAGAAGGAATTCCCTCTGCTCCCTCCAGTTTATATGACTTCCTGGAGAATCAGTGGTTCTGCTTGAGTGACACTGTCTTTCCGTCTGCTCAGATTCTCTTCCAGATTGTTGAGAGTCTCTGTGTGAGGATCTTGCAGGCAGAGATGTCTGCAGCCATCCCCAATGATGTCCAAAATCAGTGGTGGGATTAAAAAATTTTTTTACTACCGGTTCTGTGGGCATGGCTTGGTGGGCGTTTGTGGCTTGGTGGGCGTGGCAGGGGAAGGATACTGCAAAATCCCCCTTCCCTCCCCACCCCACTAACCTGCTTTCCAGCTCCATTCTCCTGTGCAGGGCAACCAAAGAAGACCCTGCCGATCAGCTGGGACTCAGGAGGCAGAGAATAGATGGGGTCAGAGACAGTATTTGCCGGTTCTCTGAACTACTCCAAATTTCCGCTACCGGTTCTCCAGAACTGGTTAGAACCTGCTGAATACCACCCCTGTCCAGAATGTATCCCAGGATTTATGCAAATGATGCCATTAGATACTTGCATTACGAGATAACCAGTCCATCCACTTTATCAATTTTACTCTTTGGTCATGGCCCAGCATACAGTAACATCACAATTACATTAAGATTAGAACTGAAAGTTAAAAAAAAGTTAAACCGTTAGAATAAAATAAAGATAAAATAATTAAAGTATAATTTCAGAGTATTCAAATGCAACAGAATCCTACAAAATTACCTTTACATTTTACATCAAATACCCAATGCTATATAAACGAAGACAGGTCGTTATAAAAAGTTGTAAGCAATACTAACATTTATAAAATACTACAAGAATGTAAGGCTGTGCTAATTTAAGTCTAAGAATTGCTGAAGCTTTGCTAGCCTTCCAGGAATTAAGACTACTCCAGTCAATTATAGGAAAGAAGTAGCAAAACAAAACATGATATAATTACTTCATTTGGATAACCACACTCATTTTATTACTGGCTTCTCCAGGGCTTTTCGGTTGGATATCTACAAACTTGTGCCTAAAAGTCTTTGGTCTTTTTGCAGATCCCTACAGTATCTTGCAAGCTTTGAATGGTTCAGTGTTAAGTCGAAAATAAATCTTTCTGTGTTCTTATACCCCATTAAATTTCCTGAACTTTATTCCTAAGCAGGTATGTCTAGAAATAGCCTGCTGTGTGCATTCCTCTACATGCCAAATGAGAAATAAATCCTTCAGAGCATAGCAGAATAGATCTTCTTTTTTTCTTGTTTACTTATTTCTATCTAATCACATCAAGATTGCTATATTAATCATAAAAATAAATCATCAGTATATTTCCTGTGTCCATAGGAATTACACAATTGTGTTGGCCCGTATACTTTTTTTTGGTACTTGTATTGATTTATAGGCTTAATAAGTCAGGGACTATCTGTATATGCATTTTAGCAGACAATATTAGTTTTATATTAGTTTTGAATTCGATCATTATTTTTTTTAAAAAAAATAAAATTTTTCTACTCTTCTACTCCTCATTCTTCAATCCTCACATCAGGCCTTTTACTTTTTCAGGCCTTCTTCTGTCATTTCCATACGCAGATTTTTTGTTAAAAATATTTTACTTATCCAAAGCAAGCCCATACTGATTGTGATTCAATCTGAATGATTAAATACTTGCAGCTTGCATAACAGTAATAAAAATGAAAGCAACTTAAAAAGAATTCCTAGTGCACTTTTAGTATTTGGAGCGTGACAAAATTTTTTCCAAAAACAATACAGTTCGAGATATTACATTCTAGTTATGGGTCTTTGAAAAGAGTATTGTTTTCTCTGTAAATATGAGTATTCAATTTGTTTTTATTGTTGCTTCCACTGTTGTTACAAGACTTCAGTCCAATATGATACTTTTTTGTATTGTATTGATCTTTCTAAGAGTATGCTACTTTATAAAGCATTGAAGTGTAACATTGTTACTAGTAAATAAGCTTTTTAATGTCATGTGATCTCCATTATTCATTATTACATTTAATGTCACGTGAGAGTTATTTCAAGGTTTTACTTTTCAATCCATTGAATTTAAACTCAAATTCAATTAAAACACCACTGTTTTACATAAACAGCTGCTATCTCTTTAATTGGAAGATTACTTCACATTTAACTGATACTCCATTTTTGTTTGTTTTGTTTTGCAAAGTTTAAGCTATAAATTCTCAGTATCACAAAGCACGCTGGTTCAAAATGGAATATACAGTAAATCATCTTTATTTTTGGCATGACATTCTGTCTATCCATCACACCTCACACAAGCTGTGTGTGTTTTTGATAAAAAGCTGCTGCGAGCAGATTCATCAGGATAAATCACATCTAGGCAATTGTAGGGCAGGTTTGAAAAACAAGCTAAAATACAAATAATCTTATCAGGGGTGTTACTGGAATCCCATTGGGCCACTTCTTTCGTTGTTCATGGCTCAGCAGGTAGTGTCCATCAAAAAATGGAGGAATTGAGAAAATCCCATTTTAGCTCAGTCTAGTTCACATGCTCTGGCAATCAAGGACCATCAGTTAAAGATTAAAAAAAAATGTACTGGCTTATCAAAAATCAAAAGCCAATGCCCAACTACAAATCTTATTGGGCAACCATTTGATTGACTGGGATAGTATAAGGTCTTTTGCCTTGAGCAAGGCGGGTTGGACTAGAAGACCTCAAAAGTCCCTTCCAGTCCCATGTTCTGTGCTGGCTGGTGAAAAGAGGATTGGTGGTGTGGGAGAAAGGGAGTGGGGAAGGCAGGAAGGAAGGAAGGAAGGAAGGAAGGAAGGAAGGAGATGGAAATAAGAACGAAAATAGAAAATTGGATTGAGAAGAAAGAAAAATAAGGAAGAAAGGAAAGGATGAGAATGAAGGTAAGAGATGGGATTGAGAAGAATGGAAGGAAGGAAAGAAAAAGAAAGAAAAAGGAAGGAAGGAAGGAGATAGGAACAAGAACGAAGGTAAAAGATGGAATTGAGAAGAAAGAAAAAGGGAGAAAGGAAGGGAGGGAATGAGAACGAAAATAAGAGATGGGATTGAGAAGAATGGAAGGAAGGAAAGAAAGAAAAAGAAAGAAAAAGGAAGGAAGGAGATAGGAACAAGAACGAAGGTAAGAGATGGGATTGAGAAGAATGGAAGGAAGGAAGGAAAGAAAAAGAAGAAGGAAGGAGATGGGGAACGAGAACGAAGGTAAGAGATGGGATTGAGAAGAACGGAAGGAAGGAGAGAAAGAAAGAACGAAAAAGAAAGAAAGAAAGCCCTGTGCTGCAATCTGGTGCCCTCCGGAAGGACGGCGAGGATGGGTGGCATGGACTATGTAGTCCTCCGGCTCCAAAGACCGCCCTCCCTCCTAAAACTCCTCCCCCTCTCCATTCTCCCCCCCCCCCCCCCCCGCCTTCCCCATCCAGCCGCTCCAGCTCCATCCCGGGCCGTGCGGACGCGGCGCGCTCCCGGGCCGAACGGCGGGCCAGGCGAGCGGAGCCAGCCCGAGCAGGAGCAGCGGCAGCGGCAGCGGCAGCAGCAGCAGCTGGCCGGCTGGGCATTGACGTCAGAGCGGCGGCCGCACATGATCGGGGAAGCCAATCAGAGGCGCTCCGGAGCGGCTCCTGCCAGGCGCTCCCAGCCCCGGCTCGCCTCCTCCTCCTCCGCCTCCTCCTCCTCCTCCGGCGGCAGCGGCGGCGGCGGCTCCTGCGGAGGGTTTGACGCCGCCGCTCCTGGCTCCGGGACACGCGTTCCGCCCGCATCCCGACGTGCCCAAGAGGGAGGACCCGCCGGGCAGAGCCTCCCCGTCCGTCGGCCGGCCCGGTTGGAAGAGCCGCCTTCCTCGGTCTCCCTTCGCCTACGCCCGCCAAGCGGAGCCCCCGCCGTGCCGTCCCTCCGGAGCAGCAGCGCCTTTTGTCTCTCTCTCTTTCGGCGGGGTCTGGGCTGCATGGGGGCTCCGCGCTCCTCCGCCCACAGGCTCGGGGGCGGCCGCCGGGGCTGAGACTCCCCCCCACCCCGTCTTCTCTCTCCTTCTCCCCCCCCCCCCCCCCCCGCCCCGTCGGCTCCCTGCCCCTCCCTCCCTCTCTCTCTCCCCCCCCCCCCCCGCCCCTCGCTCGCTCCGCCGGGGAGGGGGTCGCCATGGATTGCACGAGCGGGGGCTGCGGGGGCGGCGGCGGCGGCGGCGGCGACCCCCGTCCGCTGGAGGAGAGCAAGCCGCTGCTGGGCGAAGCGCCCGAAGGGACCAAGAGCGGGGCCGCCCCGTGCCGGCGAGGCGTCCACTGCAGCGGCATGAGGTACAAGCTGCTCCAGGAAGGGGACATTCAGGTGTGCGTCGTGCGGCACCCGCGGACTTTCCTGAGCAAGATCCTCACCTCCAAATTCCTGCGTCGGTGGGAGCCGCATCACCTGGCCCTCACCGACCACAGCCTGGCCTCCGCGACGGTAAGTGGCTGCTCCAGCCAGGAGCAAAAAAACCCAACAACAACAACAAACCCCCCCCCAAACCTTGGGCTGAATTGGGAGGGGGGCTTACCTACCTACCTACCTCTCCTTTACCTGGGTTTGTACGTCGGGCTGTTTGGACACCCCCCCCCCCCAATCAAGCCAGGTCTTGGGGTGTCAGAGCCAAAAGCAGGTACCCCCCTCCGGCTGGTTTTGCCCCCAAGGACCTGGCTCGGTGGGGTTTGAACCCACCTTGGTGTGGGCCGTCGTGCCAATCTGTGGCTTGGGGGTGGGGGTGGAAGCTACCCCACAACCTGCTCAAGGTAGACTTTGCTTGCTTGTTCTGGGCAGGGAGGAGGTCCCCCCCCCCAAGTTTTGAGCAGGCTACCCTGCACCTTGTCTCTGCTTGGTGGGGGTTCGGGGAGAGTTGTGGTCCAACCCTTGGATGGTGGGGAGTTGGAAAACCTCCCCCCCACCCTGCGGAAATTAATAATAAATTTTTGCAAAACCTGGCATGCATGAAGGGTGGTCTTTGAGGTCAAAATAGGTACTTTAGATTAGAACAAAGCCTCCCACAGAAGCAACGTTTCGACTTTAGGTTGCTTTAAAAACAAAATTATTCTTTAATCTGATTGTCATCTTCTTGTCCTTCGGCAGTTTGGAATCTCTGAAGTTGAAAGGAGAAGGTTAGCAAAAAAAATATTTTTTAGTAATTAAAAAAACCCTGTTTGCTAAGGGCTTGCCTTTCCCCCCATTATTTAGAGGGCGATTGTAATTGAATTATTCATCATGACACCTCATGATGGAAGACTTCGCTTCCTCTTTCTTCAACATTCAGTTGCCTGAACTTGGATTTTAATCATTTCCTTCTTTGGAGATTGAGGTTTCTTTGTTTTTTTTTAATCAGGTTGGCTGGCTCTTAAAATGCTGACTTATAATTAAAGGGAGAAAGAAGAGCAAATCAAACCTGGGACGGAAACCAAACAGGCTTTGTACGCGTGGAGTGTGTTGAATGGTTCAAGAAACAGCATGCATTTTTTTTGTTTGCAGTTGGATTCTGAAAGATACACCCTTTATGAATTTTGCTTTCTTGAAGACCAGAGCCGGGGTTGACCTTTGTTCCCCTTGCTCTTTTGAAGTGAGGGGTGAGCAAGCTAAGGATTATGGGGAGGGTAGTCCACCCAGTCTAAAAAGCAGAAGGCTGGAAGAAGCTCCTCCCCTTCCTCCTCCTCCTTGGGATTTGAAATGATTGTATTAAATCTCCTGCAACGTCCTTTTCCCTGTTCTAGATTGCAGAAAATGGCAGATGCATTTGCGCTCTCTCCCATCTTAGATAACATCTATTGATGGAATTTAGGCTAGTACAGTGATACTATAAGTGTTCTTTATGACAGGCATCTCCAACCTTGGCAGCTTTAAGATCTGTGGACTTCAGCTCCCAGAATTCTGGAAATTGAAGTCCACATGTCTTAAAGTTGCCAAGGTTAGAGACCCCTGCTTTCTGAGACTAAATTTCATCTCGGCTCAAGAAACGTGGGTGTTTACTTCTTCTTGTGCATGGAATGAATTTTGGCCTTCTTGCAAAGGTGTCGGCGAGCCAAGCATCTTTTACAGCTCACCATAACCCTGCAAGGTTAGGCTGCCAGAGAGCACCAGGCTCAAGAGTGTATAAGGCTAGCAGAAGAGTTAATGGTTCATGCTTCCTTGCAGCTTTGTTGTGGTTGTACAATCCTACCGGTTGTGTCTTCCGAAGCAGCCATTTTTCCAGTTGGCTATCTGAAGTTGATCCTTGGCAACCACAGGTAGACGTTAGCCGTAGTTAGCTGTGGTTTTTTTTTAGAATTAATTACTGTTCTGGACTTTGGGCCTTTTGATGGAGGTGTTGCTTTTTAGATCCTGCATGACTCACCAGCGTCATATAAATAGTGCAAGGACTATGCTCTTTCCTCTTAACCTGTGGCAGATAGTTCAGAAAGCCACATCTTTAAGACTTCTTGTGGTCTGTCAACTCAGCCCCTGGCTCTTCGTTTTGTGGCTGGAGTGAGAGCAAAGTTTAGGCAGGTCTCTCGTATTTACCAGCATCCCTGGGTTTATTGCTAAGTAAGGGTATATGAATTGCAGCTTTCGTTTTTTTTTTTCCTCTTTATTTATCTCCATCTCCCTTTCTGTTCTCTTTTCCTGTTCGTTGACAGAGTGTGGCTTTTGTCTGTGATTGGTTTCAGTGACAAGCCTGCATCTTGTTCACATGATTGAGAGGGGAAAGGATTTCCTAATTTTTTGGATTTTCAAAGCAAGCCAAGTCAGAACAGCCAAATGAAAATATTTCTGGGCAGAGCATTATAATATTTTTTTTAAAGGAGTGCATTTATCAGGTTCTCATCCGACTTTGGTCTGGCATGCTGTACAAACCCTACCTTGCATTTTTAAAATCAGGGTTATGAAACCCAAAACTATTTTCCAGTGGTAAACAGACCAAGCCATTAGAATATAAATCGAGAGCGAATTCAACTCCCTACCAGCACTAACAGTGTTATCTAGTTTGGTAATGAAGTGTCTTCAAGGAAACCAAGCTCAGAGAACAAAGACCAGTCCTAGCTCTCCTCCTCCATTACAGAACCCCACTCCCTACTCGCACTGATAATGTAACCTAGTTTGGTAATGAAATGTCCGCAAGGAAACGACCAAGTTCAAAGATCACCAAGGAACATTCTTTCCAGTGCTTTAGTTGATCATCCTTATTTAATAGTTGTAGGGCACCATGATACATTAACTTAGCCATAAATCTATTGTGAATTAAAACCGAAATACTGAGTTTGATTCCTCAGTGAAGTTTTATAGCTGTGATTTGATTGGGGATAATAAAAAAGCACAGTTATTTCTGCCATGGTTTTTCTTTTAAAAGCCCTGTGAAAGAAAAGAACAATGAAGTCGCCTAGGTTGGGCTTGGAATGCATTGTGTCCCAGGGCATTTGTTCTAACCCCGGTGTGATTATTTAAGCCCATGGAAAGATGGGTTCATCTTACGTTGCAAACCCAGGTGAATCACGCGTTAAGTGTAATCTGTGACCCAGCTATTGAACCTGTTGATCCAAAGGGAAGGAGAGAAAAGCCAGCCATGAGAACAGCCGTTAATCTCATTGTATTACTTGCTAAAAGTCCCCCCCCCCCCCCCCCCCCCCCCCCCAGTATTTGTATTTTTAGTCTACTTTTCAGTGGCCGAAATGCCTTCTATATTTCTTTGTGAGCTTTCTGCCCCCTTTCACTCTCCCTTCCTGCCCTACTCCGTCTTCCAGATGCCCACCTCTTTCTCCTGCCCTTTGGTTCCCTGGAGATTTAATAGAAATCAGGTAAGGGGCAGAATCCTGAGCCAGAGGCTTGTATGCTGAAATACCAGATCTTCACTTGACACCTGAGGTCTCGCCCTCTACCCTCCTCCCAAAATGAAACACCACTCCACTCCACCCCTGGGAATTTTTCAGTAATCCTTTTCTCTTTGAAAGATGATCCCAAGCAAATTCCTTATGGAATTGGAGTAGCAGGGTTGTACCGGGTTCCTTTTCTGCACAGCATTAATCCAAAGGGCCGGTCATTTCCTGGTTCATCGTTATTCCATCTCTTCTCCTCTGCTGAGGATCTGTCTACTTCTTTTTTCCTCAAGTCAAGGTGTAGTCCTTGACTTAAGACCGTCAGTCGAGCCCCGAATTGCAGTCGTAGCTCGTGGCTGTTGTTTAAGAGGACACCCCATGATGGTATCACCTTTTTTGCTGTGATCAAGCAGACACCGTGGACATTAAGAGAACCTACCAGATGTTAGGCGAATCTGTGTATTTTTTCTGGAAACTGGAAGTAAACATTGGGAAACAGCTCAAGTGATTGCAGGATGTTGCAAATGGCCTGGTTGCCAAAAATGCAATTATGTGACAGATGTCATAACTTTGAAAAACATTTGTAAATAGCAATAGCACTTAGACTTATATATTGCTTCACAGTGCTTTACAGCCCTATCTAAGTGGTTTGCAGAGTCAGCCTCTTGCTGGCTCTCATTTTACCCACCTCGGAAGGATGGAAGGCTGAGTCAACCTTGAGTTTGGTGAGATTTGAACTGCAAATTGCAGGCAGCAGAAGTAGCCTGCAGTACTGCGTTCTAACCACTGCGCCACCGTGACTGATACAGCTCTGGAGATATCCATTGTTACTTATAAAAATATGCTGACACTGTGTATTGCTCACAGAGGGCTATAAAGTACTATGAAGCGGTATATAAGTCTTAAGTGCTATTGTTAAGGGACCCTGGATGGTTTACAAACAAGCTAATAAAATAATATAAACATATGAATAAAAGTGCTATCGCTTAGAAGAAAACAGTGAGATAGAAGCGTTTTCAAGAAGTTCTGAAGTTTCTTGAGGACTAGAAGTTGGCAGAACTGATGAGTGATGAACTGGACTTTTTAAAGTAGATTGGTAGAAATGAGGAAACAGACTTATTATAAGCTAACTGGACAACAATTGTTTAGAGACATTGTGTTTAAACCTCTAGGTGATTTTTTTTTTTTGAGCAACAAATACTGTGGAGATATCTATCACAGAGGCTTATGATTTTGGGAATGAGATCCAATAGTTGGGAAAGATCCCAGTTAAATTTTTAGAGAAGTTATGACCATCTACATTGCCATTGTCCCCTTTACAGTGCAGCTGTTGGCAGGTGCAAAGAAAGCCTTAACTTCTGCCCCCAGTGTGAAACCTTCAGCCTTTCTTCAGCGCAAAACCAAGTCAGTTCACAGCCAAAAAGCAAGTTAAAAACATAGTCTAATGCTGGCATTGGATAAAACAGTTTAACCAGTAACATATTTAATAAATATGACATAATAATAGACTTGAAATCCTTAACTGTAGAAGCAGAGCAGGCGGAGCCTGGAGGAGGAGTCAAGAGAGGAATCAGCCTAGAATTGTTACGTTCCCATGAAGAGTCTTAAGTCCAACTAGAATTCTGTTGACCCTTA